CGGGACGCAGGACGGGCCGCGGGGCCGGGGCGGCCTCGCGCGCGGCCTGTCGGACGGGGCCGTGTCCTTGGTGCGCGTCCGAGCGCTGCCCACCGCGGCCGGGCCGGGGGCGGTTCCGCGTTGCGCGGCCTGAGGCTCCGCGGGCCTCGTTCTAATGCGAAACTTGTCTTTGGACTTGAGGTTTGACCGCCGGTGTCCGAGGCATCCTGGCTGGACCGGGATAGTACTACTATTGTTCCCGTCCGCTGGGATGCGAAGGTTGGGTGAAATTGGAAAGCCTCCTCCCTCAGGCCAGGGTCTGTGGCGCGTTCCCATCGTCCCATACTTAGAATTTGTGACAGATTTGCCACAGTGATTTCATGGAGTGTTATATACGGTTTCTTATTTGCTCTTAATGGTGGGATCATGTGCTCAGCTGTCATAAGTTTCAGATCGGATTTTGCTATGTCTTAAAAAAAAACAACCCACTGAAGTTCCGAAATGTTGAATGTTTAATATAGATTTAGAATTCACCCAGCTCACCCTGGGAAGGCCACTAATACACTGTGGGGTGGGGATAGGCCGGCTTGTCTCGAATTTATATTTGGAGCAGTTTAGTGGTGAACTTGTATGTGTGTGTGTGTAACGGTTTTGTGGGGCTGGCAGCCAGAAAGTAAATTCATTCGTGCCAGTTTTCATCAGCAGGGAGAAGCTGGTGTTGACCGTATGGTTTCCTTTTTAACACTTTCAGGGCGAAGAAGGGGGTACAGGTGGGGGCCTGGGGTGAAGTGTCTTTTCAGATGTCACAGACTGGAGATGTTTCTGTTTCACATTTGGGGTTCTGCAGGGTTCTGTAATGCTCAACTGTCCCATAGGAGGAGACCGTTTCCTGGACTCTGTGCTCAACAGACACTGTTCTGAAGGGTTGTAGATGATGAGGGTGTTGCTGGTACCTCAGTGCAGTGCCCAGCTGGGCGAACAGTACTTAGGTTTACACTGGTGGATAAGGTGTGCAGTGTGGACAGATTGCTTGGAGGGATGAAGTGCCCATTGGAAAATATTTGCCCAAATTCTTTGATTTTGTCAATGTTCACATGGGTTTTTCTCCCTCACTTTACAGGCCCCCATAGCTGTGCACCACAGTTGTGTTATTTACAACACCGTATCATTCATGCATTCTCTCCGGACAAGCACTTCTGCTATGTCTGTATTATACTGGTGTTAAGTGTCAGTACCCTACCTGTGTTGGCAAAGCGGGAAGCTGTCTGAACTCACCAGGAGCCCTCCACCTCCCCCATCGGTCTGGGATGGGCTCACATTTGCTTCTGCACATCTGGGACAGTGCGTGGTCCCTGGTGGGAGTGCCTGCTTGTGGACGTGGACACTCACCTGCTAGATTGCACTCACCTGTCACCATCAGTCACTCCTAGAATGTGTCCCTGTTGTCCAGGGGATGGCAAACCACTTTAGACCAAGGTGTGCTTAGCCTAGTTCTCTGTGAATTTCTTGTGTCCCTACAGATTTTTAAAAAGGGTTTAATGAGTTTCTTATTGAGTGTCTGGGCAGAGAAAGGGGTGTGTGTTTGCATATGGGAATCACATTATTGTTTTTCTCTCTCTCTAGACTCTGCTAGGCCTGGCTGCCTCACCCAAGAGTAAGAGTCAGAGGGTTGTTGCTTTGGCCATCCAGCCTCAGCCCACGTCTCCCCGCTTTAGCTGTGTCATCTTTGACTTGCTTTGTCCATGCTGAGTCGATTGGGTCTCTCTTTGAGGTCATTTGGAATTTTGTGCCTTGTGACTACGTAGAGTCGTTTTACTGTCTTAAATTAGATGAATCAACTTGTTTTCCAATATTGCTTAATAGCAACCAAAGAATGGAGGGATCAGAAATCTGTGCCTCTTTACATTTTAGAACTTAAAATCCCCCAACATAGCCACTTTCAAAGTGAAAAGTTAAAACAGCTTTTAATGCCCAGTTATTTAAGCATATTGCTTTCATATTTTATCTTCAATCAGGATTCATGTGGAGAGAATTCTTTAAATTAGTCTTCATCGTTTTATTAAAATATCAGAACATACTGTGGAAACGTGTGGACATTCCAGTGCTCACTTCCTACAAAGGAGCATGGGAAAACAATTCCATTTTAAGCACATAATGTAGGTTGAAAAAAGAGTAGACTCCTCTTTCAAAGTTCCTATATGGCCTGCCAGCTGTTAATGGTTGTATATCTTATCTAGATTAGTAGATGCCGGTCCAGTTTTGGTTTGCACTGTCTGCTCGTGCTGCTACAGACACTTAGGTTATTTTATTTTATGGGTCACTGTTTGGTAGAGGGTTGCAGATTGACTTCTTGGCTGCAGAAGTCAGATTTTCACTTTCCTGCCCTGCTGGTTGCCTCCTCTTTTCTTTCCACTGTCTGTTGCTACCCAATGCTTCCCTCTTGGGGGAAAACTGGGCTGCTCTCCCTGCAGATCTGGTGCCAGCAAAGAACAGGAGATTTCTGTGGGGAGATGTGGTGGCTGCCCCTCCTGTGGGCAGTAATGGCCTCCAATCCACGGGTCCGGGTAAAGTCTTTGGTGTGGAGCCAGGGGTTGTCGGTCTGGTGAATTCTTGGGACTCAGCGTGAAATGGAGAGGAAGCCAGTGAGCTGGCTGGTTGCTGGGTGCCAGGTGGGGTAGCGGTGGCTCTTTTCTTCACACACTTTTCCCTGAATCATTTTTTTCTTCCCTTCCCTTCCCTTCATTCTTGCCTTTTGGAATCATGCATTTTTCTATTTGGCTTTCAGAGGGCCCCCAAGTAGTTTCATTAATATGTAAATAGACATTATTTGGCTTAAGGAAAAACTTTAAATGGAAACACTGGCAAAGCAGAGAGGAAACAAAATTTCTCAATAAAGACAGACTCATGTCTTATTTAAAAAAAAATCAGTTGTTGATTGACTTCAGCAATAAGTTTCTGTGTTAACTGACGGCTTGTGTCCTGGGCTGTACACACCCTGGACTTGCACCTGTAGACGATATCATCCCACTGTTTCAGGAGTGGTTGAATTCTTATTTTGGTAGGACTTTGGGAAATTGCCTCGTGATGTATGTAGCCTGTGAAAACTGTTTGGTGTTTGCAGAAGAGAAGCCCGTTAGCTTTCTACTTTGTGGCTTTTGAATTGTGAGTGTGTTTACTAACTTCCTAACTCTTGCTTATGGGAGTTACTCAGTTTGTAAGGTACAGAATTACTGCAACTATTAGTTATGTTCTGTACTCGAGTCCAACTTAACATTTTCTAGTAAGTGTGAAACTACTCAAGGAAGGAGGTGCATGCTGTCGTTCTTTGTGTTGATCAAGGAACCAGTGATTTTTTAAATTGCAGGTGAGCAATTCACATGCAGCTGGCATAATCCTGTCACCAGAGTAAAATCTTAAAGAGATGGCCAGTTGGAAGGTTTGTAGATTTGGGTGTGTGTGGCATTTTCAGGGCTTCCAGCACAATATAGCAGATACGCTTAGCTCTAGAACGTCAGTTCTGTCCCCATCAGCCCCTGTGCTTTTCTTGGAGGTCCCTGTGGCTGCAGAGGTGGCCGCCCAAACTGAAGCCTGGGACCACCTTCCAGGGTCCGGGAGAGGAGACCTGCTGTCTCTAATGCAACCCAAATGTTCTCATTGAAAGGAAATAGTGGACTCTGGAAAGCAAATGTGTGAAAAAATACTTTCTTCTAGAGTCTTGTTGATAATTTGTTGTCATTGGGAGGGGAGGAGGGAAGGGGTCAGCAGATTCAGGGAATAGCTGAGCCACTCCACCGGGGATCAGACCTCACCGTTGTTAAGAAAACCTGTTCACTCTGTCACATCGTCTCAAAGCTGCCCCCAGTAGCTGTACGTATTGTGGTGAATGAAATGGACTACTTGGCTTGATAAATCTAAAAGATTGTTATCTGAATTAAAAATATGTACAAAATGGCAGCATTGATATGTGTGGGATGTGAAATGTGTGGACTTGAATTTTAAGAGTTATTCAGAGTTATGAAAATAGTTAAATTTGAATGTTCTTTTCTTGATGAATAAATATAGATGTCAAATTTAGCCAGGAAATTAAAGGCACACATTAGAGGCACTGATGTGTAAGGTTGATCCCAATGCTCAAAAGATCTTTGTGGTGCTGTAGTCATGCTCAGAGCTGAATGCTGTGAGGTCACAGCTGTAACAACGACTCTATTTTGTTTCATTCTGGGCCCACTGGCTTTATATTCTTGTTATGGTTTGGAGGCTACAAGCTGTTGGATGATATGAGTCACTTTTTGCCTTCCTCCTCCCAGCCTTTTTCACATGGGTTGTCTCTTTTTTTAGAGCTGATTTTTTTCTTTTAAAGCAGTGATTTATGGGATGAGTTGTAGCGTTCTTCTGAATTGCAAAGAGAATGTATTGGATAATCTTCATTTTGATGTCATGTATATAGACTGACTCACCAGTTCAAATCCTAGTCATATTAAGATTCTCATAATTACTCAGGTACCTGACTAAAAGCAGATGCTCACCTGCAGTTATTGGCTTGGTTTCGCACATCATTGTTTATCCTGGTA